ATCAATTTAGTATATGAATTAGGGATATAGATCCGGTAAGAAGGAAATTTTTGGTAGGAAGGTAAAGAAGTTTTTTTTCTATATATTTTTTTGACAAACAAAATAAATGAATGACTAGATGATTCATTTGTAAGATGATTCACAAGAAAAAATTCCCAAAAAAACATCTTTATGATTCATTTTTAAGTAAATTAAGAAAAAATTCACTTTTATGACAATTTTAGTGAATAACAACAAAATCATTGTATAAATGAATCATCGAGATGTTTTTTTGAGAATTTTTTCTTGTGAATCATCTTACAAATGAATCATCTAATGATTCATTTTGTTTGTTCGCGAAAATTTTTTTTAGAAAAAAAACTTCTTACCCTCCTACCAAAAATTTCCTTCTTATTTGATCTTGACTCTATGAATTAGTATATCAAATTTAACAACAACGTTATTGTTATATTTAAAAATAAACATATATTTGTAAAGATTTCAACTATATAGGTGTTTCTGCGCAACGCGCGGGCATTCGCCTAGTTCTCTAATAAATATGGATCTTTTTGCCACATGTCACATTCTCATTTATTTTGTCACATGTCATTTTATGGTTATTTTAAATTAAATTTTATTCAACATGTCATTTTATGGTTTTTCTATTTTATTAAATTTCACATAATATTTAAATATAATAATAAATGCATATCAATTTCATTAATTGACTTTCCTTCTAATTTTAAAATTACAAAATTGAAGCCTCGTTAGTTTTCTTTATTTATTTGTATAAATTTAAAAAAGAAAAAAATACTTTGATTTTAATAATTCAATATTTTTCTTATAAATTCAAACATCTCAATGTTTAGAATTTCATATTTAATTTCTCTTATAAATAAACTCATGTATTGCATGAGTTTCACATCTAGTATATGATAAATCACGAAGACCTTTTTATCATATTGTTTGATTTTCAGGTTTGATAAAAACTTTTAATCTATCATGATATTATTACGAAGATGATTTTGCATAATTGATTAAATTAAAACCCCAACTTTGCACAAGATTCATGTTTTGGATACTTTTAGACATCTTACTATCACTGATCGAATGTCTAAGGGTTGGGACACGACTACTCTGAGACGTGATCCTAGAGGTGGAGTTGAGCAGGAGCAGTGGGATGGGTTACTTATGATTGCTCAGAACGTCCAACTTCAGTCGATACCTGATAGATTGGGCTGGATTATTGATACTGATGATATGTTTTTTGTTTCTTCTGCTCGTGGCTTTATAGATGGAACTATGCTTTTTATAGGTGGTGAAGTGACCCGGTGGAACAATTGGGCTCCCATTAAGATTAATATTCTTATATGGAGGATTTAGCTGCTTAGTATTCCCACTAAAGAGAGACTTTCTCACAGGTGGGATTATGGTAGAGTTGATTCTTTGTCCCATTTATTCTAGCAATGTGGAGACTATTGAGCATTTGTTCACAAGTTGCACTGATCTATTTATGATTTGGAGACGTATTGCTATTTAGCGGAGTATCCATATGTCGGGGCAGATCTCAGTTCATTCCTTGATATCGTGGTCTGATTCTATTTCTATGAGAAGAGGCCAACATCAAACGTTTGATGCAGTAATTATGACTACTTTTTAGTGTATTTGGAGTTTTCGAAATTCCACTATTTTTGGAGCGGTGAACCCTTCTAAATCTATACTTTTTGATGAGGTTGTTTATAGAGCATTTTTTTGGATTAGTAATAGATGTAGGAAAGCCAAGGTCATTTGGAACTCTTGGCTCCATAATCCTACAATTTTAATGTAATTTTTTTCTAGCTTTTTGCTAGTTTTTTAATAAAATCCCCAATTTAAATATTAGCATATATTCTTATTAAACTAAAATTCTAGTTATTATTAATATATATATATATATATATATATATATATATATATATATATATATATATTAAAGTTAGGAAAGATTTTAACAGTAAAGTGCCACCTTTTTTGTCAATTTTGGTTCTCCAACTTACAACGTTGACCCTTCATCTTTATGTTTTTGTTCACAAACAACCCTTTCACTTTGGTTTGAATTTTTCATAACCCTCGCATTTTATTACATATTATTAGTATTTTGTCTTTTGGCAGAAATGGTCCCTCATCATTATTATTATTATTGTTAGACAAAATTACACGATTGGTCCCTGTGGTTTACCAGATTTAACATTCTCTTTTTGGTTTTAAATTAATGTTTTATTTATTAGAAAATACCCACCCAATACCATAAACCCACCCACCATCTACCATCACCACCACCACCACCGCCAAAATTACATAAATGGTCCATATGGTCTACCCATGGTGACAAATTCAGTCCCTACTACCTGAAAATACCAAATTACCCTCACATTAACGGACAAAAAGCAACCAACATGCTACTTTACTTTACAAAACAATACCTTCCGACCCGGCAACGCCGGTGAATCTTTTCTAGTTATTATTATTATTATTATTATTATTATTATTATTATTATTTGGTGGGCCTTATGTTTTGGATTAGCATCCGTAGCTATTACGTTACTATATTAGGACGTCCCATTCTGTAGCCGATCCGTAACGATTCCGTAGCTATTTTCTGTAGGAAAACCCCTATTTTCTAGTAGTGACCGGAATATAATGGATATGCGATTTGAATGATAGAAAACTTTATGGCGTAAAACACGTACTTTATTAACGTAATAACCTAAATAATATCACAACATTACTTTTTATAAGATATCTACTATAGTCAATTGTTTTTATTTTGATTATTTTATAATATAATCACTTGCAAAATTCATATCCACCGCCACTCAAGTCATATACGTATATATGTCACGTTGATCACTATTTTTTTTAAGTTAATGTCATGCTTTTTACTTGAGGAAAAAATGACGTGTTGAAAGTATACCAAACTTACTACATCCCCTACACGTGTCACAATCTTCTAACACGTGTTACAGACTTGCTCTGCCACCCTCCATCCTTCATCCACCTTATAATCAAAACTCCCTCCCAACAACAACGGCAGAAAGATAAACATCACACAAAAAGATTTGCAAAAACAACGTAAACACAAGAATATCAGGTCCTTTAACAATGGCGGCAATGCATTTCACAAGAACAGGAATCTTCAACATATCTAAAGCAAATATCCCTCGTTTAACGTCTCTTTCTTTTACTCACAAAGCCTCGAGGGTTTGCTTCACTTCTGCCTCCAAACATTCTCAGGTATTATCAACATTCAAATGGATCGATTTCACTAGATTATCTAAATGTTCTTGTAACCCGTTATATATGTCATCGTTTTTCACAGGGAAAACATGCAAGTGAAGAAACCAACAATGGGTATAACGCAGATGAAACAGTCGGCTACTATGGTGGAAAGTCATCGGATATGGGACGAGATCCAAAGGACAAAATGAAAGAAGGTAAAGAGAGAATGAAAGAAGGTGCCGGAGAAATGAAAGATGAATCCATGGATAGTATGAAAGGAAAGGCTACAGAAATGAAAGACAAAGCAAACGACATGGCAGGAAAAGCAGCAGACAGAGCAGGTGACATGAAAGAAAAGGCGAAAGAAAAGAGTTACGAAATGAAAGGAAGTGCTAAAGAGACTGCAAACAAGGCAGCAGATAAAGCTGGAGAAGGGAAGAATAAAGCTGCAGATATGGCGAAGGCGGCAAAGGACAAGACTATGGATGCTGCCGGAGCTGTGGCTGAGAAGACAAAGCAGACGGTGGCAGGAGCATGGGATGCAGCCAAAGATACGACACAGAAGATCAAGGAGACTGTTGTTGGGACATCAACTGATGATGATGATGATTGGGGGGATGATCGTACAGGGAAAGGGAAAGGGAAAGTGATGGGTGAAGATGATGTGAATCTAAGGAGGAAAGTTGGTAATCTTGATCATGAAAAGAAGGATTATTAGTGGTTCTTTTTTGTTGATTTCTTTCTTTGTGTTTTTAATTACGTACCCCAAGATTTTTGGGTTGTTTAGAGATCTTGGATACCTGCAAGTTGCCAAAATAATCGTCCAAGAGTGAAAGATAATGTTAATGTATATATGTTTTAAAATTATGTTATAGTTTACAGATGTTTACCATCTTCTTGATCGCAAAAGATGTAGAGAACTTATGAAACCATAATTAAAATAATTGACTTCATATTAACCATTGAACGAGAGAGTAATGTAATAGAATGATGCATTTTAGGAGCAACCTAATATACTTGAAAATTGAAATTACAATCTTCTAATGGAAAGAAATAGGGTCGAAGCTAGGCATCCACAATGCAACATCATTTTTTTACATTTAATATAAATATCAATTTTTTTCCTATGAATTTCAATAGAAAATTATAAAAATTAATTTTTATAGTATATATTTAAAAATTAATTGAATGCCATGGTGATATAATCCTTTAAATGACAAATAGTCGCCTCATTTAATCCTCCTATTAAACTAAACTTATGATGGTCTAAAACACGAATAGATAATGGTTATTATTTTTTTGTATAACTCGACTTGATTATTAAATATGTGTTGGAAGATCCTCGTAATTGGAAGGACGCTGTATATGTTATTAACTTATTGCATTTTCTTTTCGTATTTTACATTTGTTTCATATGACTTGCTATAATGGTAAAGTTGACAAACGGTAGAGTTTCATATTGGATTCTTTGATAACAACGTAAGAGATTTAATTTCCTGTAGGCATCGCCAACTCGAAGCACACGTAGAAACGTAAGAGGTTTCCCAAATCGATATGTATTTGTACTAAAAACAGGGCAATCTAAGTGAAGTAATTCAGAATCTGAAGCATTACTTTCTTGAGGAGAAAAGGTATCAGAATGTTAATTTTTCTTTTCTTTCAGCAAGAAAAGCATCTCAACCCTTCAAAACACCTTCCTTCTCCAATCAAGTTTCAATCTTTTCCAAAAAAAAAAAACAAAAATAGTTTTGAGTGAAAAAGAAATGGCTCCTGAGATTGTGGATGATGATATTGAACAACATCTTCTCGAAAAAATCAGTCATGACATTCAACGTATAGGTGATCAGCAAAATCTAATGACTAGATACTATTCATTAGATTCTGATTTTAATGATGTGAAGGACATCCTCACGCGTACAAGAAATCCAGATTATAACGGGGATTGGTTGAGTGCAAGAAGGGAGAATCTTTATTACCTCAACAATTTGTTGAATGAATGGCAACTCATCAAGAAACGCAGCTCATTTGCTCCTGTTGAAGATCGTGAAGCATGTCTGAACATCAAGAAGAGCTTAAAGAAGATGATGAAGGAATTCAAAGGTGAAGAATCCAGTTCAAGAGGTGATGCAGAATACTCTGTTACTCGTCATCAAGACCCACAACACCTCACTTTTGAAAGAAACAAGGAAGATGTTTACAGGTGGAGCTCCAGGCATGGACCGAGGAAAGTTCATGGTTTTGAACACAATGCCATGGCCATGGAGAGGGAGCTTGCCATGCGAAATATTAATGTTCCATATAAGGTTTTTGGGGTTGTGGGAGTCGCCGGAATTGGGAAAACGACTCTTTGTCAGGACATTTTTGGCCGGAAGTTAGTAAAGGAGCATTTCTGTCCGAGGATCTGGGTTTGTTTATCCAAGCAACCTAGAGACAACCATGACTACAGAAAAGAGATTGTTGTCAGGATCTTGAAATGTCTCGGAATAGAAGATAAAGTCATAAGTGATGTAGCGAAGGAAGAACATGGACTCCGGAAACTGATTCTTCTTATCCGGCTACAACTGATTGGAAAAAGATATTTGATTGTTCTCGATGATGCTTGGAACGATAACGAATTCTTCTTGAAATTGATTCGAACGGAAGACCCGAATATGAAATGGGGTGAGGAGTTGGCATACGCATTGCCAAAAGGGTGTGGTGGAACAGTCATTTCGTCGAGCAGGTCGGATGCATTACTAAAAAAGATGCTTGGGAAAGATGTAAGTTTGCTTTATTTGAAGCCACACACCAAGGAGATCATTGATCAGATTTTCCGAGACACCGTGATTGGGTATGAGGAAGACGAGAGGGAATTCCCTACGCATTTGGATGAATTGAAAATGGAGATACTAAAAAAGTGTGATGGAATACCGTTGGCTGCAAAATTGCTTGCTAAAATTGCTCGGGAACCATTGCCGCTAAAGCTGAAACCCCCACCGCCAACAAGCGTCGTCGGAGGTAATGAGAATAAACAGGCTCCGGAAAGTGGTGGCGAACAGTTGAAAGGCGGTGTCGAAGCCGGTGGCAGTGGCAGCGGCAGCGGTGTTCATGACGGTGAGCACAACGGCGTTGTTCTTCCAAATCCGAAGCAGAAGGATGGTCTCCCTCCGATCGGATCCGATCAGGTGGGATAAGCACTGGAAATAAAAAATGCCGATAGGTTTGGGTTTTTTAACAAAATAAGCTTGTTATTGTAAGTTTGTTTTCTTGATAAAGGAAAATAAGATTATGACATAATTTACTTAATGTATAAATTATTATTTTTATCAATTTATGTTTTGCATGACTGTAAAATCATAAATGGAAAAATTATATCAAAGTGAATTAGTTTCACATATGTTGGCAAGGTTTTGTTTGTGTGATACATATTAGGGAGGAAGGAGTCGTTCCCTCCCAACCCACCGAACTCATTGTCACATTAATTTTTCTCTTTTATTTTTCTTCATCTTTCCGAACCCACAACATACGGAAATCCTATCTTTTTGAACTCACTCAACCCACTCAATTAAAAAAAAATACAAAACAACTAAGGTACAAGTTTTAAAACACATGGTACAAGAAAAAATAAGAAAGAGAAATTAGAGAGAGATGATGAAGTGAGTTAGTGAAACCAATCAACTCACTCGTTGAAGCAGAAGTGGTACCGCCGATAACTCTATTGCTAATTAAGATTTTACATTTGATTGTTTTGTATTTTTTTTTAATTGAGTGCGTTGAGTGAGTTCAAAAAGATATGATTTCCGTGTGTTGTGGGTTCGAAAAAATGAAGAAAAATAAAAGAGAAAAAGTGATGTGGTAGTGAGTTCAGTGGGTTGGGAGGGAATGACTCCCTCTTCCCTTACAATATGTTTTATGGATGCAAATTGCAATGATTAGGGAGGAGGGAGTCATTCCCTCCCAACCCACTTAACCCACTGTCATATCATTTTTTCTCTTTTGTTTTTCTTCATCTTTCCGAACCCACAACACACGGAAATCATATCTTTTTGAACCCACTCAACCCACTCGATTAAAAAAAATACAAAACAATCAAATGTAAAATCTTAATTAGCAATAGAGTTATCGGCGGTACCACTCCCGCTTCAACGAGTGGGTTGATTGGTTTCACTAACCCACTTCATCATCTCTCTCTACTTTCTCTTTCTTATTTTCTCTTGTACCATGTGTTTTAAAACTTGTATCTTAGTTGTTTTGTATTTTTTTTAATTGAGTGGGTTGAGTGAGTTCAAAAAGATAGGATTTTCATGTGTTGTGGGTTCGGAAAGATGAAGAAAAATAAAAGAGAAAAAGTGATGAGGCAGTGGGTTCGGTGGGTTGGGAGGTAACGACTCCCTCCTCCCTTAGTAACGAAAAGAACAACTTAAGCAAAAACAAGCAAAATCATTGTGGTCTTGTACAATAGAAATCACAAGCTCACAAACGGATTAATACGTTTGTCATGATACTCTTCTAATTCAAGATGAATAAATTGAGTTGTGATGTTCAATGAGTATTCGTGTGATCTGTAACGTTCGATTGAGTTGAATGATCCATGTTTTAAGACACGATTTCAAATTGAATTAATAGACATTTTGTTTACGCTTTGTATGATTTTTTTAGTAGAAAGCATGAATTCCTTGAATTTAGAAAACTACATATACTTGATTATAGGATAAATAATAGAAAGATGGGGTGGGTCGGATCGGAGTAATTATAACATCCGTCATGTGAGGTTAGAAGTTTTGACATTTAAGTGTAAATTGTAACAAATAAAATCACTTTTGATTTAAATAAAATAATTATAATTAATTAAAAATGCTTGTTTCAAATGTTGTAATTAAGTTTTAGAGTTTAAAGGTAGAGTCTACTTATAAAAAATTAGAGATTTAAGCATGTAACTTTAACTTAACCTTACTAACTAGTGTTGGATTTGATCTGTAAAAGTGTCGATTGTTTAGGATCTAAGTAAAAGCCAAGGACTTGGTTAACTAGGTATTTATTTTATAAAAAAAACATTCGAACTACTCTTGTAAAATGGTAAAAGTTTATATCTTAAGCACTTGTTTGGATCCATTTATTTAAACATTTAGGTAATTTGTGAATTAAAAAATAAAAAAATATTATTTATTTTAGAATAAGGGTAAATTGGTAAAATAGCTAAAACTTAAATATGGAAATATAAATAGTTTCCTATTTTTGAGGAGTTTTTAGTGGAACTTTTGAAATATGAAATTAAAAAAAAAAACAAATTAAATTTCAAAATTGAGAACGTGCAAGTTCTTATATAATTCGAAATTTCAATTTACAATTATTATTTTACAATTTTGGTATATTCTGATCAAAGTGTGCGATATTTTTAAAAAATTCTTATATGAATATTAAATTCATGATATATATTTGAAACATATTATTATTCATATATAAACACACACATAATCTTCATAGACAAAAAACATTAATATTCATGACAAAATATATTAAGATACAATTTTTATAGAGAAAAGCATAAATATTCATGATAGAATATACACACATAATTTTCATAGAGAACAACATAAATATTCATGAAAGAATATGTATACATATAATGTACATAGGAAAAACCATAAATATTCAGAATAGATTATACACACATACAATATTCATAATAAAATATATGAACACATAATCTAATGTTTATCTATAAGTTCTTGTGTAAGTACTCATGGTGAATCTAGAATAACTTCATCAACCTAGCTTGGAATAGCTTCATCAACCCACCTAAATAACACAATTCAATAGTATCATCAAATATTCATTTATACAAACATGAATATTGTATGTAAATAAAAAAACTATACACATAAAGATTCACACATGAAAAAATTGAAGCAATATCCATTCATTTAGGAATACAGACAACGAATATTCAAATGACAATTAAATAATCTATTTAAAAAGCATTCAACATATAACATGCATTCACTACAAAATATTTACCTATAAATGTGTTTTTGACATAACATTCAGTGTAGAGTATTCATATATAAAAACTTACTATTCTTATTAGAATATATATTAAGCATTAAAAATGACTAATCAAAACCCAAACAAAAAGAAAAAAAAATACAAGTGAAATTCATATTGAAGATAAATCGAATTGTGACATAAAGTCCAACTATTTAATTGTACGGAGGGATAAAAAGGTAAAATTTTAAGGAAAAAAATTGAAAAAAAAATACCTATACGAATCAATGGATGTTCAACGCAAAAAGGATTATAGAAATTTTTATCGATGACATTGAGGACAACCATGAAATAAATCTCTTTTCTTCTGTTGAAGATTAAATTTGAGCTTTTTAAATTCAAAATAGAATTTCAAATAACATTTCGCTAAAGATTTAATTCAATACAGAATATTTAATAGAGTGTCTAAATTGAAAAGGGATTTTCTAATAGCAATTCAAGTTCTCAGAAAAAACTAACATTGATACAAGAAATATTGCATGTTGCTTAGAAACACCTTGGAAAATCAAGAAAAGTCTACAAGAAATAGTTGAATAAATGTAATTTAAAAATATGGTGTTTTTACATCAAGTGGGACTAAGAAAATCATGTCAGAAAAGTTGTATATCTACACATTTTTCTCTATATTAAAAAGAAAGGTCAATACTTAGTTTCTTAGATAATAGTTCACATCATTAGAGTTAGATAGTAAAGCATATAATAAAAAAAAGCAACAAGTTTAGAATGAAACCAAATTTGTCGAAAGAAAGGTTGTCATCATTAGAGTTAGATAGTAAAGCATATAAGAAAAAAAAAGCAACAAGTTTAAAAATGAAACCAAATTTGTCGAAAGAAAGGTTGTCATCTAGGAGGAAAGAAAACTTCTTACCACACAATTGCTTTAATGGTTTCCTGCATGTTTATAAATTCCTTTGTCGGAAAAACCGACTGTACTTGCTGCAAAATTCGTTGTCACTGTCAATTGGTGACCATCAAGTATCCATCATCAACCCTTCCTTATGCCATCATCGTAACCTAAATACACCACTCCCTGCACCGATCGACCCTGATGATCTCTCTTGTTTCCCAGAAACGCAAACAACATGTAATCATCATCGAAATCAAGATGGGAAATACAAAGAACTAGGGTTCTGATTTCATGAAGCAAGATGGGAAATAAATAAATAAATAAAATGAAGATTATCAAAACATAAAAGAGAAAAACATACTTGTTGATACCTTGATCGACGACGACATTGACAAAGGGATCGATATCTTGCACGAGTGGACGAAAAGAGCAGCAATGGCCGAAAGCGGCACACATGAAGAAGCGTTAATCGGATCTCATAAAATGCGTATAAATGGCAGCCTACTTGGAGAGATAAAAACTAATTTCCAAAAATATAGGATTATTTAATTATACTATATTAATGACATATGTAAAATACCATGAACGCCTTTTTACTATTTTTATTATTATTGAATTAAATGGATAAAATGATTGACTGAAAAACGTTCTTATGTTGTCACAATAATCTTTGTTTTTATTTGAACCTACTTATTTCTCTCTCTCTCTCTCTCTCTATATATATATATATATATATATATATATATATATATATATATATATATATATATATATATATATGAAGTTAGGGAATATACATTACAGCTCTACCTAATCTTAGGTACTAAAGGGATATATACATTAAAGTCTCAATATTTTCATTGATTTGACAAGAAAGTCCTAGACTTTATTTTTTTGACAGTAAAGTCCAAATTACCGGCAATTTTTGACACTTTTACCATTTTTTCCCGGTTAGCCGGTAATCAGGACTTTTTTGTCAAAAAAAAATAAAGTTTAGGACTTTCTTGTTAAATCGTCAATTAGGACTTTACTGTCAAAAAAATAAAGTTTAGGACTTTCTTGTCAAATCGTTGAAAATATTGGGACTTTAGTGTATATATCATTTTTTTTTGTTAGAAATTTGATGGTATGATACTCTTTAAGCGTAAGAGTTATTGAAACATTTTCTAGTCAGCTAGATCCTATTGAAATCCTTAACGTTTGCTTCTTGTTAAATAGTTTTTTTAATCTCAACAAACCGACATTGAAAAAAATGGAGATAATCAAGAAAGAAAGAAAGAACCAGGGTTGTGTTAGCTTTTTGTAGTCCCAAAAATGGAGAAATAAGAAACCGAAAAAAACGAAATTGCCCTTCTTTCCCTTCTCAACATTCACACCCTTTTGACTAGGCATGTGTTGTTTGTGTTTGTATAATCTGTTCCTACTTTTTAGTTCAAGATTTGGCGGCGAAGCAAGAAGAAACTTTTACAAGGGTGATATATACACTAAAGTCATAATATTTTCAACGATTTGACAAGAAAAACCTAAAGTTTATTTTTTTGACAGTAAAGTCCTAATTGACGATTTGACAAGAAAGTCCTAAACTTTATTTTTTTGACAAAAAAGTCCTAATAACCGGCTAACCGGGAAAAAAGGGTAAAAGTGTCAAAAATTGCCGGTAATTTGGACTTTACTGTCAAAAAAATAAAGTTTATGACTTTCTTGTCAAATCGATGAAAATATTAGGACTTTAGTGTATATATCCCGGTACTAAACCTCTAAAATGTGTCGTTTTAACTTAGTTAATACATCCGGTTTGGTTTTCACTTGGTAAATATACCATCCCCGATAACATTTCTTTCCCGCATTATCGTTTTACAATCGATGTTTTCTTTCCTCCATTACCGTTTATTACTTCACCCCAGTGAACATTAATATTCTTCACCGTCACGAAGGTCGAAGATAATCAATATTCTTGCTTCCATATCAAAATTATTGCGTCAATCATGAATCTGCAGCTTCAAGTGTTAATCATAAATCCCTAATTGCATTATTTAGATTATAAAACAACGTATTTTCATGAAGTTTAGTACCTAAGCTTTAGATGGGTCTGTAGTTTATATTCACTTTTCCATATAGATATATATATATATATATATATATATATATATATAGATATATATATATATATATATATATAGATATATATATATATATATAGGTTCAGGTTCATTTCAGACCATTCTAATTTTGTGAGACCGTGAGACCAAATCTAAAAATAATTTTAAAATGCAAAATAAATGGAAAAATCCAAAAATTATTTTTTTAAATATTATTTTCGGAACTTGAATTAACTAAAAAAAATAAAAATAAAATAAAAATAAATAAAAATAAAATAAAAAAAAATCCCGTTTTTTTGAAAAATACGTGAAATATCTAATAGAATATTACACTGACATATTCTAAAAAATAATTTTAAAATGCAAAATAAATGGAAAAATCTAAAAATTCTTTTTTTAAATATTATTTTCGGAACTTGAATTAATTAAAAAAAAAATAAAATAAAAAAAAATCCCATTTTTTTTTGAAAAATACGTGAAATATTCTAATAGAATATTACACTGTACATATTCTAAAAAATAATTTTAAAATGCAAAATAAATGGAAAAATCCAAAAATTCTTTTTTTAAATATTATTTTTGGAACTTGAATTAACTAAAAAAAATAAAAAAAATATTATTTTTATTTTATTTTATTTTATTTTTTTTAGTTAATTGAAGTTCCGAAAATAATATTTAAAAAAAGAATTTTTGGATTTTTCCATTTATATATATATATATATATATATATATATATATATATATATATATAATATATATTTATATTGGAAAAAGTTATGAATAGTTAAGTTCTCGTGGTTAAGTTATTGGCCACAATAGTTTATGACATTGGCCGTTGTGGTAACTCTAATCGATTGGGTTTTTAGGGGATTTTCCAGATTAGGGTTTTATTCACCACCGCGTTACTTAAATCTCTTTTCATTTGATAGTTTGGTGATAAATCCATCCCCAAGTTTGTTTTCGCCGCTTCAAATCACCGTCTTCTCTCAATTTTGTAGGATAGACTCGATCTATTTCTTCGATACAAAGGGCATGAGAGAAAGAAACGCACACCGCGGAGAACAATCGGCGGTGGTTCAGGTAAACGACTGCAGACCCACATCACCTTGATGTTTTCTGTTGTCATAGCAGTATTGGTCATCTACACCTCGAATTACCATTAGTTTCTTTTTTTGTTTATGTCAGATTTTCTTCATTCGCAGTTCCTCGATACATCCTTCGGTTTCTTAAACCAGTCTATCACAGCCAATACCTCACATCCAAGGAGCGAGCAGAATTTGGTCGATCATCTACTGAAGAATGTTGGAAATATATTTGAAATGTAAACATAAACAATGTCCCCATGTGGTTACGTGAAGTGTACCCACACTAATGAAGTCCACTTTATCAACTTTTCCTTTGATTTTTTGTATTGAACATTTTTTCACAACTTCATATCATTCATATTATTTTCTGTTTCTTCCAAATGTTGAATTGACATCGCAGGTTCTATTTCTTCCAAATGTTGAATTCACAAATATTGGCAACATATTTACAAAAAGATAATGAAGCTTTTGTGACTTTGTGGTGTATTAGTGTGTGGTGTCCTTTGGTATTTGCTATTTCTTTAGTATTTCTAGATTCAATGTTCAATACTTTTCATTAAAAATAGAAGTAATCGTGTTACATTGTCAGGTAGTAGATAGATGTGAATCAATAGACACATGCTGGAAAGTTATAAAAGCGGTACTGGAATTCATCTTCAAATCCGATTCTACCAAGCCATCTTTATCTATGTGGAGAAGGCGGCCGCTTGAAAGGTATATGTCATTCTTATGTATTTTAATTCATGTTTTAATTTTCTGCAATCATTGTCATATCTTTAATTTATTACATTTCATTGGATGTGCTATTCTACTTCAAAGCTTTGTCCCAAAGGAAGTATGTCATGCAGGAGGATGGACACTAAGGTAAATGTATATCCCAAAAAACCCTTTTCTCATAACATATATAAAGAAACACCCAAACCATTGTATTAGTTTTAATTTTTTTATTTATAGGTCAAGGAAAAAGATTCGATATTTGATATGATAAAACTATTCTCGGATGTTGTGAGCATTCCAATTATTGCAAGTACTGGTGCAAGAACTACTCAACATTTGTTACTTGTTTTTGAAAAGAAAAATGCTTTTGCAGCAAGGAAAGAGGTATTTCGGTTATTCATTATTCTTTTATAGAAAATATATAGAACAATGATGCAAATATTAGCACTCGGAAAGGCACAGACAGTCATATCAAAGAGACCCTCAACGAAATAGAAACAGTCCTTGAAGAACGTATGAAATAATGCCATTTGTAAATTATAAAATCAGACAGAAAAAAACTCATTTTTCATTTTTAATTCCTTATTGTTGTTTACAGGAGATGCAAAGGAAAATCCAAGTATAGAAGCCACCAATCCCATTGATTCAAAAAGGAGGAATGGTTCTTCCATTTAATCCACTGATAATGTCTTTCAACAACGTGCTTTAGCTGCTAATACCAATATGATTTATTTGATTACCCGTAATCGCAACATACTTAGATTTCGATATAATGATACGTACATTGTACTTCATTTGTCACATATTGGTATGTAAAAAATACAAATAAAAAACATTCATTGTTTACATCGGTATAAAGACTAAAGGACATTGTTACTTCCTGTATTTTCCCATGTAATTCTTATTCTGTGTTTTTTATATTATTTTATTGAATTCAAGACTTTGTAACCTTAACTTTTGACTGAAAGTAAGTTGTCATTTCAAAACCTTATGGTCATCAAGAGTTCACGGGTAAAGACACATGCAGAAAGAAACATTAGAAAAGGGTGTTGACAGGTGATTTTACACACCCTCAAAATGATAATGTACCAATTGTTTCCTATAGTGGGTCTTCAGATGATAGAAGAAAATAGATGGAAGAAATTAGTATCAAATTATAATGTAATATCATGAAGACATTCAAAGTGATAATATACTAAGATGGGGTCGTTTCTTTGAGAGCTTTAGTGAATATCCTAATATTGTTCGAGCCATGACATAGATAATAACCGGACTTCAAGGAGACATTCATAGTAAAAGACAAATAGGCTTTGCTTTTGTTGTTCAATAGTAAGTATTACCATGATTTCATTATATGAAGAGTTAAGTTAGTACTTTGTAGAATTGATTGATTAATTAGCCCTTTTGTTTTACAGAAAAAAAGTTGTAACTTCTGCCAAGCACTATGTAAGAGATGGTGGAACGATGAGAGGCATCAATGAAAACAACATTGCTATAGATTTTCCTGGTTCAAAGAGTATTCATATGCCTCCTTGTCGTGATGTGATTCAGAAGGGTGTTGCAAGCATTATAGTTTCTTATTCAAGCTGGAAGGGAGTCAAAATGCATAGAAATCATCAACCTATAACTGGATTTCATAAGAATCCTATCAAATTCAAAGTAATGAACTTGTATTTTCTCTTATTATTTTTAATATTATGGTTTCATATACATAGAGCCGTGATGTTTGAATTTTTTTTTATATCTTTTACAGGGACTTGTGATCTCGAATTTTATGGGTATTGATAAGCTGACAGATCCGCCTTATGTTGATTACACTTGGTCCATTCAACAAAGCGTTTCGGCTGGCTTAGACATGGGTGGTTCAAACACGATTATATACTAACGCCAAGTTTATATTTTGGTTTTTTTGTTGATCATGTCAAAAGTGTTGCAATTCATTGTTGGCTTCAACTACCTAGAATACATGAGTGGGTTAATACACCTTGTGAAGAAGTAGTTCATCCCAATGAGTCATATTGATGATGCACCAAGGAGGATTTTTCATGTGAATTTGATGATGGGTTTGTTCGAGAATCCATTCACAGATTTCAGCACAACAAAATAGCTTAGTGAACAAGTTGAAGCCTTTGCTGTTGGATTAAGGTGTCTAAGCCAGTAACTAAATTGGTATATTCTTGTAATTAGAAGCAAAGTCTTTTTTGGGTTACCCTTATAACTAGAACTTGATTAGAATAACATTTATAGAGAGAGGATGATTTATTAGATTATTATATGATTAATAAACTAATTGGAAATTATGAGGAAATGATTTGTTAATATATTATATGATTAATATATTAATTGGAAATAGATAGTTGATTTGTTAATTCATTATATGATTAATAAATTAATATGAGATCAATTGTTAAAATGATTGATTTGTTAATTTATATGATTGATAAATTAATATGACATCAGTTAGAATTGATTAATTATTAATCAGAATTAATATGAAATTAATTTGGGATTAATTATAATTAACTGAAGGTGAAAGGGGTGAATTGTAATTGTTAAATAGTTGAACAAAAGAGACATCTCTAGAACCATCCCAGGGTGGACGGTTTTAGGAGCCATTCTAGGGTTTTCAGAAGCCTCCTTGATGTTAATAAGGAAATGATATGAATCAGAATTAAATCCATTATTTAGTTATTTATATCTTGCTTTATCCCTAAGTTACTTAAACTATTAATAGGGCCCCTTGGACACTCAAATTCGTGGTTCTCTCTTCCAAGAAGGTTATGAACGAAATTCTGCTCTCTCCTAAAGTATTTTCTAGTTCTAGAGTTTAGGTGTCAATCATTAGCAACATCATCCTTTTGGTGCTAGCTTTCCAAGCTCTTTAGAGGAACGATTGAAGTAACTTGTTTACTACAATAAGTTTGAGGTATGTATCTTTAGTTTCGGATTTTTGAAATTACTAGGATGCATATTATGTTTTGTTATTCAAAGTATGACATATATCCTTTTAGGTTGCATGTTCCCTCTTCTTAATTGTTAACTGATTTTTCGCATTGAGCATTATTGTTGTAACCTAATAAACCTATCAGTGGTATCAGCGATAATTGGTGTGTCTTTCCTTAATCGCACATTAGTAAATTAAACAATAAATTTTGTCAGATCTGTGTTCACGACATGACAGTGTATCTGTCACGACATGAACTCAGTACAAATCTAGAATTTTAGGATTTCTTGCCTAATTTGATTTATGTCATTGTTATTTGGTAATTATCTGCTTATAAATCCGATCTAATCTGATTTCTCATGCTTTGGATGATTAAATAAAATCCCTAAATATTAGGAGATATCTTTACACAAATTAATGATTAATTATGAATTTAATTAATACTATCCCTACGGATCTAAATGATTAATTTAATTATAAGACTAATTAAAAGATAATTTTAAATGCATAAATGGTTTAAATGATTAATTAATTAATTGATTTAAATAATTAATTTTAAGTGTTTAAATATTTTATTATAATCAATTAATTCAGATAATTAATCTTAAACCTAGTAGTTTGAAATGTTTTAAAATACACCCATATATATGTATTATAAGATTAATTACTCTATGTATAAGAAAAGTTAGTCGAATCACTAGTAATCCTCATTCACAAAGCTATGTTATAAAAGAGGGTATAAGGAAACGGTCTACAAAATGATCGTTGAATGGGTGTCCTTTTCACCTACCGCTCTCCTGCGTGGTGGAGGGTTTTTAACTGAACGGGTTCAATATGACATAATCAGATTAAAAGTATAATTTATAAAGTACTAGAAACTTCTTTAAAAATCTTAGACTAGTTATGTTAGGAAAAATATGAAATTGTATACTAATCCATGAAAACACACATCGTTTATTTATGAGTCATTATTGGAGCGTATGTGGTTAACCGACACACTAAGTTAGGACCATAAAGATGAAATGATGAAGCAAATCGTGTTTATGTTTATTGATGGAGCGTTGGTGGTTAACCGGCACATCAATGGGAGATCATAAATCGATAAAGGGTGTTTGAGCGGGTTTGCATGGTTATTCACATCTTAAATGTGATCATCGGCATGCTAGTCACAATTGGTAAGAGAATAATTGAGATTAAACATGTCATTGATAAAATTCAATGTATCTCAAAAGATCTAGGAGTTTCATAAGATTGAAATTGGTAAAAGCCTTGCCTACCTAAAATAGATTCACAATTTGTTTACAACATCCTTTTCAAAGTTCGAATGGAAAATATGGATCCTAGACTTAGTTTAATTTATGAGTTAATAATTAAGGATTAAAATCAACTAACTTGAATACTCTCTTATCCCAAGTTTAGATGTTTTATGAAGACAGAAATGGTCTTCCTCGTTCTTATGGAAATGTCTTTCCTCAATCTTCAAGAGATGGTCTTCACATTCAAGTAAAGGTGAAAATGTCTTCCCTTCCTTAGGAAATGGTGGAACTAGACATCATCTCTCTTCAACTATTCCACCTCCTCCTCCTATGACTCTCCCAACGTCACGTTTTCGTCAAGTTGAAAGATATGAAACTACTCAAACCCTATTGGCATGTAAACATGAAGATGGGAATCTTGTGTGTGCACACATTCTAAAAATGAAGTCGTACATTGAAAAATTGGAAACGATGGGTGTCGTATTCCCAAAGGAGTAATCCATTGATTTGGTTCTTCTTTTGCTTCCTAATTCATATGGTTAGTTCGTTGAGAACTTTCATATGAGGAATCTTGATGTGACCTTAATTGATCTGACCTATATGTTAATGGTTGCTGAAGCAGAAATGCTTAAGAACACAACTAAAGTAGAAATGCTTATAGGGTCTAACTCCAAGAATTCCATGGACATTAACAATGGTAACATTAGTGATCTAGAAAGGATTTCTCTTCCCAATCGAAAGGAATTGGCCAAGCTCAAACCGTTTGATCATATAGTAAAGAGAAATTCTCGTTCTGAGATCATTCCGCATGTTGACCCCAATAGGTCCATTTGTTTCTACTTCTAATTGAAGTGACATTGGAAGCGAAGCTGCGCACAATACCTGAAAGATATTAAAGATGGTAAAGTCAAGTCGTGTGACTCTACTTTAGGTACATCCATTATATAGTTCCATAAGTTCCTATTCTTAGACTCTTAATACATGATGTGATGATCACATTTTGATGGTATTGTAGGATCTAAAAGAAAGAAGGAAGCTTAATCAAAGTGAGCTAAATCTGATCGTGAAAGATGTGGTCGCATGGTTCGATGGTAAAAATTTGGAGCTACTTCTAGGGAGTTAGGATAATTTAACAGATTGATATTACTCTCCGGAGATGTTTAGAAATATAGTTTTCCATTTCATGCATTGTAAGGACAGGTTCCAATTTTTCAATAAAAGCGATGTTTTGGTTTACTTAGTTGGCTTATCTTATTTCCTTGTAATTGCATTAATGAAAGTGTTAGTTATGCTTCTATTAATATCAATATAATTGTGGATTTGATTCTTATGATATCGCTTGTGGTATTGTCATAATTAACCAAGTGAAAAAAAATATATCATCGCCAACTGGAAAAATACTTGGTGTCGTAAAATTCGAATGGTATAATATATGGGAATCTTGTTCGTTGGAAAATTATGACTTAATCATTTTTCACACGCTTATGTGAGGCAAGTGAATGACTAATGGATCTAGTACATATTGATATGGACTCTTCAGATCCACTACAAGGGATGATAACTCTATTAGTCATGATTTATTGATGTTTCAGGAAATATGATTGTGTTTATAAGATTAAACATAATTATGATACTTTTGAAAAGATTCAAAGAGTAGCTGAACGAATAGAAGAATCAATTAAGCAGAAAGATAAA